CTGCCAACGCTTCAGTCGTTCATCACTGACGAAAAATCAAATAAGTTTTTGTAGAATAAAGGGCTTACCTCACCTCTCCACATAACCAGCTCGATCCAAGCAGGTCTGATACTGATTGTGAGACTAAGAGAACAGCTTTTGGATACCACGCGTGTAGAGGTCTTTCAACTGGCTGGGGATGAAAGTGTTGACGGCTTGTTTGACCTCTTCCGCTGATTCAAAATGAACTCCCCCAGTTCAGATTTCAGAAAAGGGAATAAATAGTGGTCTTTTTGCCATTTATTACCGTATTTTTCGTCAGTGATGAACGACTGAAGCGTTGGCAGAGAGGCTCTTCTCTTGTCGCGGACTTCAAATTTCCGCGGATTTGGCGGGAGCGGTGTGCACCTCGGCGCGTTCAAACGGCTCGCGTTCGGCCGCACATGGTCCGATTTTGTTGCGATTTGTTTTGTTGAACTCAATATATCCTAAGGAAGATTTTGAGCTCAAGTTTTTGAAAATTGGTACATTCTTATTGATTTTAGAGAGGGGGGATACTTACTTATTGAACGCCCCTCGTAATAAACGGATTTTTGTTTTCTGTAGCTTGTTCGAAAGCTGACCAGTTTTGCAAAGACTGCAGGTTGTTAAAATTATTAAAATATGAATAATGAGCGAGATATAGGGGAGCTTTAAATAGTTCCTTTTGATGTTTAAGTAAACTTACTTTTTAGTCTAGCTTGTTAGCCTTGTCCTGTCAATTATTGACTGGCAGTTGATTTTGAACATTCCTAATGAACTCCACATATTATGAGGAAGTACGCCTAAAAATACTGCAATTTTGGTCTTGTCTTGTTAATTATTGATAACTCATGCAGCAGGTTTGCACAGCATGATTCAGAACCATAAACTCAAAACCAATTTGATTTTTCATAACATTCGTTTCTGTAAGTATCTCATATTTGGACTGTCCTAATCGTGATACTGAACTTCACTCACCCAATTATTTGGAGGTATAGGTCGATTATCTGCATCATAACCTTTCGGATCTTTCCAGACGTAAAAATCTTTGTACGGATCTTCTTTGTTAACAGATTTTTTGAACCACTCACTCTCATCGCTCGTATGATTAGGTATGAAATCAAACAGCACTTTCATTCCTTGAGCCAAAGATAGAGGATCAATGAGGAGCAATATACTGGTTTAAAAATCAATGACGTGGCGTGAATTTGCAATGTATCGATTGTTTTGCCATTTAAACGTATGGTGAAGAATCGATTATTAAGGTGTTCGCTGCGAACACCCTGTTTATCGATCTTTTTCCATAGGTTTAAATGGCATAACAATCGATATATCGCAAAGCACGCCACGCCACTGTTAAAAATGAGAGGGAGAGCGGAATAGAATAAGAAGGAATAATGAGGCTAGTTTGACTTTCAATTGGACGTATTTCTGCCAAACGGAACTATGTGCCTTAAGACATGAGCCCTGAGACCCTTCAGAATATGTGTGTAACAGGGCTCACGTCATAATGCACATAGTTCCGTTTGGTAAAAATATGTCCACTTAATGTATTAATTCGATCAATACGATCAATTGACTGTAAATGACTATCGATTTAGTAGATCTGACCGGAGTCACCAGGACCGCAACTCTCGCTGCCTGATTTCAGTGGCGTGGCGTGAATTGCGATGTATCGATTGTTATGCCTTTTAACCTTATGGTAAATAATCGATTATTAAGGTGTTCGCTGCGAACACCCTGTTTATCGATCCTTTTCCATAGGTTCAAGTGGCATAACAATCGATATCCCGCAATTCACGCCACGGCTGATTTCTTCTCCTTATTAATGTATTTTTTTTTTTAAAAAATAGAAATCTAAAAAACTTAGCGTCTCTAAACTATTTTGAATACCCCTTACATTGGGGGTAAAACATACTGGGTATTTTTTAGAATGACATTCTTCTGTCAAAAAATAAATCATGATAGAGGGTTAAGTTATTTCTGTTGTTACTATGCTAATTCTTGTGAAATCAGTCGAATTAAAATAATCGAGCATATTCCTTTACCATAGCTTTAAATAGGGATTTATCGGCAACGCCACTGAAACTATCTCCAGCGGACCGATTATTGAATCTGATAGACAAAGCTATAGACAAAGACGACACAAGGGATTTGGAGGGATCCTATTGGCGAAAGCAGGTGGTGGCAATGGACATAGGAGGTAGGTAATGGACTAACTAACGGCAACCCACTAAAGACCCGACAGTTAGTCCATCATTTTTTTTCTTAGTCTATAAGAACCAACCATGTCAACCAATAGGATCGCTCCATACTCCCTATGACTTCTTTGTCTATCGCTTTGTCCATCAGTTTCAATAATCGCCCCGCGGTGTGACATGAGGCCTGTCTTGCATGCGTTCTCATAAGTCTGCTCGATGCCCAAGTCACAGTGGACATAGTTCCTTTGCCTTAAATAGTCCAATAAACGAGCAATTTGACGCCTGAAAATTGTTCTAAACTGAGAACAGGGTTTTTGCTATTTGCTATTCTTGAGATTATGAGATTATTATCATTATTTATCAAGATTATTAAGATAGGAAGGAGTAGCGAAATACTAACCTTTTTCGTGGATAGCATCAACAAGGCGTCTGAGATCATCCATTGAGCCATATGTTGGATCAACCGTCTTGTAGTCTGTTACGTCGAAACCAAAATCCATCATTGGTGATTTGAAAAATGACTGAATCCATACCGTCTGGAATCCGATATCCTTGATGTAATCTAGTTTCTCGAAGATTCCTGAGGAATATTCCACTTTGAAATAATAATGCACACTAATCTTCTTCTGAGTCTGACATAAAAATCTCTCTCTAAATTTAATTTCGGCGTTTTACTGACTACATTTATTTCATATTTCATAATTTAATGGCTGAGGAGCGTGTTCCCACGAGACTCGCTTTAATTTTTCCCTCCAGTGAGAAAAATTTGTTTCTAATATAACGCTCTCACAGTTTCTCCTCCACATTTCAAATCATTCAAATTACCACGGTCGGTATTTCATTTTATAACACTGAAGGATTAGTAATGCGTTTCAATTTGATGCTGTCATTTGGTTTCGTTTTGTTTCGTGTTTCAATGACTTACTCATTATAAAACAGAATCAAATATGATAATACTCCTATGATTATTTGAAAAATCAAAACATAAAGGAAACCCTCCCCCCTCCCTGATACGTTGAGATTCTGTAATCCCATATATTCTTAATATCCAGTTCAATAAACATTAAAAGTAAATGAAAGAAATTGAATGTAATAAATTTTAATGAATAATTACCGTTTAAATCTCCGATACCGTCTCCATTCGAGTCTTTAAACGATCTTGTATATACTTGATACAAAGCCGTTGTCTCGTACCAATCTTTTTCCGTATTTGCGTTGCATTGGATCGAATCAAACACCAAAGGCACAAGAAACACGACTAGTAAAGGGACCCGCATTTTTTTACGGTATAAGTTTTAAAAATGAAGCTGTGATACTTTTAATGGAACTTAATCGTCAATATGAATACCTACGTCTGAACCTAATTTAAAAACAAGAATAAACTCTTTAAGCCTAGGCTAATCCTCGATTTAGTATCATAGTTCCTCTAACAATTCCAAGTTTCTGAGTTAGTCCACTCGCACAAAGACCAGAGAGTGTAATGTGAAACAATCGAAACATGCATTTTGCTCTCGAAGATAAGCTGTCATGAAGATAAGTTTTAACCTGTGATGGTGAAAATCTCCGAATTAAAGGATTAATCCGGTCAAGTGATCAAAAAAGCAACTTGAAATTAGCTCACAGAGGATAAGTCATGAAGGTGACTTGAAAAGAGCAAAATAAAGAGTGAAGAATCTTACAATTTAACTCGCACAATTTCCATGGAGAGCTGCAGACTTTAATTACTTACGTTAAAAGGTCAAGAGTTCAATCCTGTGCAGGAATAATGATTCGAAAGCTGACTGAATTAATGAAAATAAGCGTATGTGACAATTGTGACATTATCGTACTTTATTACATAAACTTCAAATAAAATTTGGTAAAATGAAGCCTTAAAAATGATTTTTACACTGTATTTACAAAATTTAGCATTCTTGGCATGTCATGAAAGCATATATATGGTAGATGAAACTGCAAAATCTTACACCTCGGTTTGTCATGAACGCAAATATGCGACTCTCGCGGTCATAATTGAATCATTAAATACAAAAATGGCACATGTCCAGAAAACCAAATTGTTCAGGAGACAAAATAAACAGTTTTTTGTGTCTCCTGAACAATTTGGTTTTCTGGACATGTGCCCTTTTTGTATTTAGTGATTCGATTTGAGCAAAAACTTTGAGGTACTAAGAATACAAAACCAGTAGCTTCTCACGCAGAGGTATGTGGCCTAGTATTTTTATTACCTCGAAAGTTTACGTGAAAAACAACAGATGTATTAAAACCCTCCGTATTTGATTAGTGAGTGAGCAAATGTCGTTTTTTTTTTTTGTGAATGCGTCAATACCTTCCCGCTGATAAAGAGAACCAAATTTCGTTCGACTCAGATAGATCACTTATTCAACTAATTTCGTTAAATTTTACGGTGAAGGAACATTTACAGGGAAATTTTGTATTTACTTACTTTTTTTGACAAGATTAGAGGTGCTGTGTATAAGCGAAGGAAGGAAGTTTGTGTGAAACTAAGCTCCAGTGACGCTTTTTTAAATTTGTTTTCAATGGCTAATGTGAACCACGATAATGGACCACTAGAAAGGGTACGAATTTCAGCATTCTGATACATGTTTCATAACCAAAATTTCACGTAGAACACGATACGCACAACGAAAATTACCGAAATTAACTCCCTACGAAGATATTTAATGATTCTTGATGCGTGAATTCAAACAACCTGCTCATGAAAACTCGATGCTCTACGTGATTCACATCGCGCGCTAGAAGTTATCATAAACGTATCAGCGATATAAAAATCTGGCAACCTCAGTCTTGACGCTTTGGCTCAGCTGTAGCAAATTGCTTATAGTTTGAACAACACATGGTGGGAAATGAACATCCCTAGTAGCAGAACCACAGTAGGAAAAGATAAATATTAAGTACGAAAGTTAATTTTTTTTATGTAATGCATGCATACAAAAGTGTTAAAAGTGAACATTTTTATGTAACCATTATATAAAAAAAAGTTATAATTTTCGTGAGCTTTTCGCGAACATACTAAAAATTGTTCTAATTCGCGAAAAGCTCACGAAAATGATGACCTATTTTGTTAGGTATATAATCGTTACATAAAAATGTTCACTTTTAACACTTTCGTATGCATGCGTTATATAAAAAAATAAAAAATGTGTGTATAAAAAAAAATTATCTTATCTAGCTTTTATCATTTTTCATATATTACGGTCAGGTCTGAACTTTGATTTTTTTATATATAAGCGTTACACGTTTTTTATATAAAACGATCATTTAGATAACAGATATGTTTTTTTTATACTTTTTTTAGAAAAACAAAAATTTGTTCTGCTACTAGGGATTGCTCGATTGGAAAGCTTGCTGAAACCATTGTAGTGCGCGATTTGACTCACGTAGAGCTTTGAGTTTCTTAAGAGCGGGCAGTTCAAATTCCTCGTAACTGATGTGAAATAAAAACGTTAATATCTTCGCGAAGAGTTGGTTTCAGTAACTTTTGTTGCACGAATCGTGTTCTAAGTGAAATTTTGGTTCAGAAACATGTATTAGAATGCTAAAATTCGTACCCTGTCTAGTGGTCCATTCTGTTTTTTTACTCGTCAATTTCTCACTCAGAAATCAATTTTTGAAATTTTTCAATATATTCCAAATGCTCTGAATGTAATCTTGAAAAAAAATTTTCTTTTTTTTTTCCTAAATGTTAAATCACATTTTGTCTTGTAGTTCAGTAATCTGTGAAGGGAAAGTAAGAAAGAAAGAAACAAATGTTGACCCATCTCTTAATTTGACACTTCAAAAACAAATGTATTACATCACAGCTCTAAATAAATTACGCAGTGCAAAGACAACATTAATGGATGTTCAATCCGAATTGACAATCCAACAACATAAATTTCAGCAACAAAATTGTGAAGGACACTAGCGTTGACGAAATTGTGCTGAAACCTGTCGAAGAAATATGCGCAGTTGTCAGTACAACCCCAGCTTTCGGCCGTAAGCTAAAGCAATCCGAGTCTGCTCCTAAAACGATGACTCTATCCCTGAAATGTAAAATGTTTAGTTTGAGTTTGCAATTTAAATCAAATTACATGATACTGATAATGTCGCAGGCAATTTGCAGTCGTTGGCAAATTGCAGTCTATTTAAGTTGAATAAAAACACGTAAAAATTCAGATGAAAAAAAAAGATAGATTGTACTAATTCGTGACACACTATTTTTTCTTCTCAATCGAATGATATCAGGTAGCACACACGCGAGCGCATACAGTGAATTCGGTGACCTCAGTTGGATTTGGTTTCGTTTTGCAACATACTGAACTAACAACCTTGCAAAGCGGAAAGTATCGCCAGGATTTGAAGGCACCCCAAGCCGAGTTCCTTCTTTTGAAGTCGTTTATGAGTGAAACATTTTCTAAATCGTTGCGAATTGAAGCAATTTGACGAGTTAAGGAGATTCAATGAACGTCATATTTTGCGATACATCGCATCGATTAGTTCCATGTTTTCAGCCACTTGCCATTTTTATCGAATTTTTAGATTGAATTTCCGTTGTCACGAGATTACAGAATTCACTTACCAAATTAAACAAACAACCCCAACGTAAAGAGAGATAGGGGTTTTTCAGAGGAAATGTTAGGGAACATTTTTGGGAATGTTGTGTTGTTCAGAGGAAAGTGATTCGTAAGTCGTCTCCTAGGGACGCTATTATCAACAAAATGCTTTAAACTTACCCGGTATTGTAGCCGGAGTTCGCACTAGCCGTATGAACTTCCATTGAGCCGGATACGTTTTGATGGTGGGCGCAGTTATTCAGGCATACTGACTCTGTTTCGGACCCCATATTCACCAGAACAAAAATTGAAGGGTGACCCCGAAGTTTTCTGAAAGGAACAACATCACAGGTTTTTCAGTGTTAGTGAAATTTGGCGTCAAAAATGGGGGACAACGTGATCCTGATGAGCTCCAAAGCCACTTTCTAAAATGCGTTTTTGATGGAGTTCAATGCTTGAAATATCATCTATTGATGCATTTACTTTGGGTAACGGCATGGTGCGGTGGAACCAGAGACACGAGACCCTTCATTAGCCTCTTGGTGAACAGGTGGAAGCATTTACTTTCGGGGATTCAACACTGCCCTACGGACAATTTTAAGGGAGCATCAGTCATCACTCTTTTTTCGACTGTTGACCTACCTACTAGGGGGATGATGAGCTTCGGGTGACGTCTTTAGCCAAACAAGTTTCCCAAACTTCGGTTTGTTCGCAAAACAAAACTCCCAACACGTTGTTAACCATCAAACTTGTAGGTTGGTCAACAGCTGAGTGTTGCAATCCCGAAAGAAAAAGCTTCCACCATTTTCAAGGTACTTAGTGGCCTTCTCGAAACTTCATATTTTGAAGTTTTCGTAGAAATACTTCAAACCGCTTTATAATTCCAGTAGAGTCTCAGAGTCTCAACCGTTTTTCTCCCAAAATTTTCTTAGAGGACAACTCCATGTTCTCGGATCAATATCTCAATATCAAGTGGACTAAGGTCCCTTTTTGCTTTATATAACTTCACAAAAAAATTACATGAGCTATTTTTTCGAAGTTGTTTTTTTTTGCGGATAATTCATAATGCACTGTAAAAAATACACATTGGATCTAGAGTCCAGACTCTTAAAAACATCGACAAGAAAAAGTACTCTTGATTCAATCAGAATCGAGCTTAAATCAAGAGCCAAGCCTCTTAATTTAAGCGGATTTTGTTTTGATTCAAGCAAAAATCCTACTGAATCAAGAGTATTTTTTCTTGTCAATGTTTTCAAGAGTCTGGACTTTAGATCCAATGTGTTTTTTTTTCCAGTGTGGGTGTTATTCTACAAATATGCCGTTTTAATTTCCGCCTACCGCGAGATCATATGAATCCATTCTGATACGACGCAAGTCTCCCACTCGCCGTATTGTATGACTGGAGAGCTCCTTAAATTCATCAGACGCTTGAATGTGTTTAAGGGACTCCGAGGGTCCTCAAGTTGTTTCTTCACATTGATTCTCCAAAAATCTGAACTCACCGGCAACCATGCGTTTTTCTTCGTTGTGAAACCTTCGTGAAGGAGTAGAAGGAAAGTAAATTAATAATAAGCGAGAAAAAACACTCAAAAGTGTGGTCAAAATAGTATGCGACAGGGTGGTAAAAGAGTGCTGGATGCACACTATTTTGTGAGAAAAATAATGCCAAAAATGACTAAAATTTCAATTGGAGTAAAAAATTTGAGCTAAAAATTTGAGCCCAGGTAGGCGACGGAGAGGACGTCCAGCCAACCGGTGGGTAGAGAGCATCCGTGAAGAGATGCGGAGATGCCAGCTTCCGGAAGATCTCTACCATGACAGATTCCTGTGGCGACAGCAGAGCGCCCTAGCGCGCCGTTAGAGCGACTTATACGTACATACAACAAATTTGAGCTCTAATAGGGATCAGTAAAAGACTGAGAGGGGGAGGGGGTCTTCAGCTCAAGCACATCCATCGGGATACTGATTAAAGCTTAATTTGTAACTCTACTTAATATCTTATTATATTTTGCGGAATAGTCATGACTTAGCCTTTTTAACCTTCTTTAAGTTTTTAACACGCCTTTCCTACTCCTGGAAGGTTTCGATTGGTTATGCTGATCAGAACCGCTGTTGAGTTGTTGAATACAGTTGTTGTTTTAACCAGCTTTATCGACCACCAATAAAGCAAAAAAAAAAACCACTGCGGGCTGATTGTTGCAATTGATTGACGCAGTAATAGACATAGAAGACGAAGAGAATGGAGCGATCCTATTCGTTGAAACGGTTCATCTTGAGGTTACAGACGTAAGGGAAAATGATAGACTGACTATGATTTTCTCGTGGGATGCGGTGAGTTATAGTCTATCACTTACCGCCATCCATCGTCCATTGCAAACATCCGCTTCCTCCCACATTATGATCACTCCATTTTCTCCTCGTCTTCTTTGTCTATCGCTTTGTCTATCAATTTTAACAATCAGCGGGCTGTTGCTGTCAAACCTGCATTTATGGAGTCGTCCCACTGCATAGGTCCTCTGCATGCGCCACGGTTATCTATTTTGATTTCTCTCTTCTGATCCGGGCGGAGTTTGGTATCTTTCATGCCAATTTCCTGACCGTAGTAAACACTGGCCACTCCTGGTAACAAAAGTTGAATCATGAATGCAGCCTCTGAGAACTCAGGATCGTATCTACTCGGTAAGCGATGTAAGTCATGGGTGTCTGACTGAAAAATAAAACAGTATTTGCATAATACAATATTTGAATCAGTGATAACGAAAATACACCAACTCGGAAACTACACTAATAATCAAGACACAGGCAAAACTGCACGGTTGTTGAAAAAGTGCAAGAAAAAGATTTTTGGTGCCAAAAGACAAGTATTTAAGGATACTTTTAAATGTCCAAGTTGGAACAGGTGCGTTAACTCCAGTGATTTCTATTAAAACTGACTCTCTATAATGAAAATAAAGCATTTTTGAGTCACCGAGTTGGTGTGTTTTCGTTCTCACCGATTTATTTAATCATAGATCAAGAGCATGGAAAATTTCAATTCAAGATAATTTTTTATGTTCTATTCAGCAGTAGCTAATAATGAATCGAATAAAATATATGCAACATGTAAATCTTCAAATCTTCGCAATCGAACTATCTGCCTTTCATCTGTTTTTCTTTTATTTTTTACGTTGACTTTCTTTTTCTTTCTCTTCGCTAATTTTTCCCCGTTTTTCTCGTCTAATAGTTTTCTCTTTACATTTAAAGTTTGCAAGGTAAGCTGTCATGGGAGTTTTAAAAAATCAACTTACCACCCAACTGGGCACCCCATTCGGTGGCATTATATCCATATAACTATGAATTATCCTTTCCAAGTCTGTTGCATTCGCCGTATCCTTTAAACCGAATAGTCCAAAGTAGAATGGAAAATGACTAATTTCATGAGTTGAGTTACCGAAGTATCTAACAACTCTCCATGGTTTTGCGAAGGTTTCCGGTGCCATTATTCTAAACAGAATAGGAGCAAAAATAAGCTGTCATATCCAATTTCATACTTTTCACATTTATTATGGATTAAAAGCCTAGTATCTACAACACAGCTTTTGAGAATGATTGTTGAGATTGAAAGGAATTCGAGCACATCCTTTCGGACACCAGGGGGTATACCCCTTGGCAGCCACCTAGACCAACTCCCGAAGACTCGTCGCGCCCTCTAAGGCCTGCTTAGCAGGCCTTTGTCGCTCTAACGTTTCCGGCTATCCGTTCTAGGATCGAATTATATGGCGAAATGTAGGAACAAACCAAGATTCAATAAGCTACTTTCGTCAGTTTTCCGCCAAATTTTAAATTCCCTCCATTTTTCATTGGCGGAATTTCAAATGTTGCTTATTGCCCCTAATCTTGCTAAGCTCACCAGTCATCCCGAATATAAACACCCTGGGTCATATTTCCAAAATCTGGACAGATCGGGCTAATCTAGGGACTACCATCTGCCGATAGCCGAAAATCATGGGAATGCCTCTGTAGGAAATATACATTTGACAAATTTCCTGTGTAAAAAAATTTTAGCAGGAAAACAACAGAACTGGCTAAGTGGCTACGTTATACTTTTTCAGTTTAAATTAAACGTGTTTCAATTTTGAAATCTCACCTTGTGACATTGTCTCGCTCTTTATATCCATCCAAGAGCGTGCGCCATTCGTAAAGAAGCGGTAGAACGGCCTCAAAGTCCATTTGGTAGGTGTGGATCTGAGAATTAAAAGCTGTTGAATTCACCACCTCCGGAGAGACCCAAGGGTTATCCCGCATGAGGTCGTCTTCAAATATGAATTCCGGGGCATCAACTCGGAATCCATCAAATCCGAAATCCAACCAAAATTGAAAAACATCCTGGAACCAAAGACGCAAACGTGCCGTATGCTGCCGTGCTAAGGAAGAACGCCGTATGAGCCTTCACCCGTTGGCAAGTTTCCTCTCATAAAAACCGAATATACTGAGAAAATTGGGAAAATTATTTGCCGAAAATTTCAGACAATTTTGTACGCAATTTAATCTAAAGTATCTGAAAATTTCACGGAAAAATATTAATGGATGTTGTCAAAAATAAATGTTTTATTACGGGCAATTTGGCAACTCTTGAATGTTCATACGGCGTTTTTCCGTGGCACAGCAGTATGGGTCTCCCGCAAACCCAAGGCTAAGGTACAATACCACGTAATTGACAATTTTGGCAAAAGTTAGTAAGCGACTTTACCCCCATTTCACGACATACAAACTGATGTCTTCAGTTTCTTTTTTAAATTCTTCAGGGGAACGCTGTAAAGACACAGAAATGTGTGAAAAATTGCACATCTAACCTCATAATTACAAAAATGGCAAAGTTTTCTCTTCGTCCTGCAAAATTGCCAGTTTGCAGATAGGTGGTATAGTCCCACACGCATCGAAACTTTAACTAGAGCAAAAGAAAAGAGTTGTCTCATGTAAAAACGGATCCAAAAATTACAATGAGCAAATTGCAATGATAAAGTCTAAAATCTACTCTTAACTTCACAATTTACGTAAGAAATTTGCATGTGTTTGCCTTTTCGCTGCAAAAAGTGTAGTGAAGTAATTACTTAATTCGATACACATTATTCACCCCTTACATTCCACGCAAAGTTCTCATTATTTTAATCATGTCTGAGTATTTTTTCCTCCCTCCTTTGTTCAGAGATTAGTGCCTGTCATATATTTATCAGGTACAATATAATCAAACAAGAATACACCATACAGGGCCACGAGGGCCCTAAAAATGTCCTTTTAACATAAATATACTAGTGTATCAGAAAATATAGGTCCACCGCTAAGTTATTTTCAACAAACAATCGTACACAAATTAATATGCGTAAAAAATTATGCTCGACGTGTGTATAAGTTTAATGGTAATACATGATTTTGATCCATGAGATTGAGTAATTTTTTAAACTTGTTTCCAATGGATCAGACGTAATTGGAAATAGGCACATAAAAACATTCGGACTTACCTCCATGGATCTGCGAACTTTCGGGTTGTGATAATTTAAGTCTGGTTGACCTGGAAAGAATACTGAGTAATAAAATTGCTTCCTTCTCTCATTCCATCGCCAAGCTGAGCCACCTACTACGCTTAACTGCAGGAAATCAAAATTTTAATCATTGTGAGTGTTAAGATGAAATAAAGTATTGACACTAAAAAAAAAATGTATTAAAGAGAAAAGAAATATACGCTTTTGCCAATAACTTGACGTATTTATGCTGAAAGGAACCATACGCTATTTTCGAACTTTTCAGTAGAGAAAGTTCTGCAAAAAGTATTGGCGTCTGTGTACTAATAGACGGATTTTTGTTTTCTGTAGCTTGTTCGAAAGCTGACAAGTTTTTCAAAGACCACAGGTTGTCAAAACTATTAAAATATGAATAATAAGCGAGATATAGGGGAGTTTTAAATAGTTCCTTTTGATGTTTAAGTAAACTTACTTTTTACTCTAGCTTGTTAGCTTTGTCCTGTCAATTATTGACGGTCAGTTGATTTTGAAAATTCACAATGAACTCAACATGTTGTGCATAAATGATGAGGAGGTATGCCTAAAAATGCTGCAATTTCGGTCTTGTCTTGTTAATTATTGATAACTCATGCAGCAGGTTTGCACAGCACGATTCAAAACCATAAACTCAAAAACCATTTGATTTTTCACAACATTCGTTCCTGTAAGTATCTCATATTTGGACTGTTCTAATCGTGATATTGAACTTCACTCACCCAATTATTTGGAGGTATAGGTCGATTATCCGCATCATAACCTTTCGGATCTTTCCAGACGTAAAAATCTTTGTACGGATCTTCTCTGTTAACAGATTTTTTGAACCATTCACTTTCATCGCTCGTATGATTGGGTACGAAATCAAACAGCACTTTCATTCCTTGAGCCAAAGATATAGGATCAATGAGGAGCAATATACTGGTTTAAAAATGAGAGGGAGAGAGAAATAGAATAAGAAGGAATAATGAGGCTAAATTGGCTACAAATGCTAATGACTATCATTTTAGTAGATCTGACCAGGGTCAGCTTGACCGTAACTTGCATTATCTGATTTCTTCTCCTTATTAATGTATTTTTTTTTTTTAAAAATAGAAATCTAAAAAACTTAGCGTCTCTAAACTATTTTGAATACCCCTTACATTGGGGGTAAAACATACTGGGTATTTTTTAGAATGACATTTTTCTGCCAAAAAATAAATCATGATGGACGATTAAGTTATTTCTGTTGTTACTATGCTAATTCTCGTGAAATCAGTCGAATTGAGATAATTGAACATATTTAATGCAAAGGAAACTATCCAGCGGCGTGGCGTGTTTTGCGATATATCAATTCGTCACCTTCCGGGCAAAGTATCACAAGCGCCATGCGACGTTTCAAAAATTCCGCCGCCGTTTTATTTTTTTAAAGAGAAATTGTTCAACGAAGCTGTCCGAAAATTTCACTGAATTTTCTTTGCGATGCCGATAAAATTCAGTGAAATTTTCAAACAGATTCAAGCAACAATTTCTCTGTAATAAAATAAAATGGCGGCGGAAATTTTGAAGCGTCGCATGGCGCGAGTGATACTTTGCCCGGGAGATGACGAATTAATCTGTCATTTGAACCTATGGATTAGGATCGGTAAACAGAGTGCTCGGAATGGATACCTTAATAATCGCTTTTTTACCATAGCTTTAAATAGGGATTTATCGACAATCGATCATTCACGCCTCGCCACTGGAACTATCTCCGGTGTGACATGAGGCCTGTCTTACATGCGTTCTCATAAGTCTGATCGATGTTCAAGTCACAGTGGACATAGTTCCTTTGCCTTAAATAGTCCAATAAACGAGCAATTTGACGTCTGACAATTGTTCCAAATTGAGAACAGGGTTTTTGCTATTATTGAGATTATGAGATTATTATCATTATTTATCAAGATTATTAAGATTGGATCATTAAGATGGGAAGAAGTAGTGAAATACTAACCTTTCTCATGAATAGCATCAACAAGCCGTCTGAGATCATCCATTGAGCCATATGTTGGATCAACCGTCTTGTAGTCTGTTACGTCGAAACCAAAATCCACCATTGGTGATTTGAAAAATGACTGAATCCATACCGTCTGGATTCCGATATCCTTGATGTAATCTAGTTTCTCGAAGATTCCTGAGGAATATTCCACTTTGAAATAATAATGCACACTAGTCTCGAGTCCTCTGACATCCAAATCTCAGGGCCCCTAAATTTAATGTTGGCGTTTTACTGACTACATTTTTTTTCATATTTCATAATTTAATGGCTGAGGAGCGTGTTCTCATGAGACTCGCTTTAATTTTTCTCTCGAGTAAGAAGAATTTGTTTCTAACATAACGCTCTTACTGTTTCTCCTCCACATTTCAAATTATTTAAATTACCTCGGTCGGTATTTCATTTTATAACACGGAAGGATTACTAATGTGTTTCAATTCGATGCTGTTATTTGGTTTCGTTTTGTTTCGTGTTTCAATGACTTACTCATTATTAAATAGAATCAAATACGGTAATGCTCCTATGATAATTTGAAAAATCAAAACATAAAGAACCCCCTTCCCTCCCTGATACGTTGAGATTCTGTAATCCTATGTTTGAAAATTAGTTTACAAACAATCGTAGCAAAAAAGTACCTCAGCTCAGTAACACTATTCCCTTTTCTTTTGTTTTCATGATTGCAACCTTTTGTCTTATAAATACAATAATTTTTTAGCAAGTTTAAATTTTTTATGAATCACATATATCTTACTTTTGATTAATTTTATTGTTCTTTTTATCCATCGTAACAAAACTATTATCAGTTTCAATCATCTATTCTTAATATCCAGTTCAATAAACATTAAAAGTAAATGAAAGAAATTGAATGTAATAAATTATAGTGAATAATTACCGTTCAAATCCCCAATACCGTCTCCATTCGAGTCTTTAAACGATCTTGTATATACTTGATACAAAGCCGTTGTCTCGTACCAATCTTTTTCCGTATTTGCGTTGCATTGGATCGAATTAAACACCAAAGGCACAAGAAACACGAGTAGTAAAGAGACCCGCATTTTTACGGTCCGTTTTAAAAATGAAGCTATGACACTTTTAATAGAACTTAATCGTCAATATGAATACGTCTGAACCTAATTTATAAACAAGAATATACTCTTTAAGCCAAGGCTAATCTTCGATTTAGTATCATCGTTCTTCTAACAATATCAAGTTTTTGAGTTAGTCCACTCGCACAAAGACTAGAGTGTGTGATGTGAAACAACCGAAACATGCATTTTGCTCTCAAAGATAAGAGCTGTCTTAAAAATAAGTTTTAATCTGTGATGGTGAAAATCTCAGATATAAAGAATTAATCCGGTCAATTGATCAAAACAGCAACTTGAAATTAGCTCACAGAGGATAAGTCATGAAGGTGACTTAAAAAGAGCAATATAAAGAGTGAAGAATCTTACAATTTAACTCGCACAATTTCCATTGAGAGCTGCAGACTTTAATTACTTACGTTAAAAGGTCAAGAGTTCAATCCTTTGCAGGAATAATGATTCGAGAGCTGACTGAATTGATGAAAATAAGCGTATGTGACAATTGTGACAATATCGTATTTTATTACATAAACTTCAAATAAAATTTGGTAAAATGAAGCCTTAAAAAATTATTTTTACACTGTATTTACAAAAATTTGCATTCTTGGCATGTTATGAAAGCATATTTATGGTAGATGAAACTGCAAAATCTTGCACCTCGGTTTGTCATGAACGCAAATACGCGACTCTCGCGGTCATAATTGAATCACTAAATACAAAAAGGGCACATGTCCAGAAAACCAAATTGTTCAGGAGACAAAATAAACAGTTTTTTGTGTCTCCTGAACAATTTGGCTTTCTAGACATGTGCCCTTTTTGTATTTAAAGATTCAATTTGAGTAAAAACTTTGAGGTACTATGAACACAAAACCAGTGGTTTCTCAAGCAGAGGTACGTGGCTTGGTATTCTTATTACCCATGCATATTTTACGGATGCTAAGGTACAAATGAACTAAATTTTGCGACTCGGAACTATTTTAGCCTCATTTCAGATACAACATACTAATAATACCAACAGTTCCCACAAAGGTTTTTCCGACTAAACGCGAAACAAATCCTTCAGGAATGCTCGGAAACCGGAGGATTTTGCGCGACACTTCATGATACAATTATTTTAACTTTGGTGTGAGCGGTGAAGTATCGCGCGAAACTGAAGGCGTTTTTGACCGGTAACAACGGTTTTAAGGAGCTCACAACAACGCGTGCCACGTTAAGGGACCAAAAAACCCGCACCCTCCGTCATTTCTTTGAAGATGAGTCAGGATTCATTGAGATACAATACACTTAAAAGTCCATTTGCAAATGGACTATTAGTCAAGTGAAACAAAGTAATTTTGGTGCAGCGTCAGCCACAGGGAAGATGTGAGTCCAAGCCTTTTATCACCTGTTCGCTGTGATCTTCTGTGTAAGTGCTAAAACTTACGACAAAAATCACCATTATTCAAATAAAAGGCTATGGACAGACATTGGCTTCTATAGGTCAAAAATCTCTTCGAGTAATTCGTAGCAATACAATAGTCAGTGGGATCATCAGCACTGCATCAGTTAATATCATTTTGGAGCCGGAGGTTTGGTTGTCTGTAGTAGACGTGAGAACTAATCCAGATTTGGGCCGTAAGCTGGAACACTTGGAATCTGCTCCCAACACGATCACTTTATCCCTGAAATATGAAATTTGGCGTAAATGGATGAAATCATCCTTTTTTATTCATTATGAAATATCGAGGCAATCTCAGTCGGTAATAAATTATTTAGAATGATAGTAGACAACAAACAAGAAACAACAGTTTTGAACAATTAATAGCACGTCATGATAATTAGAGTTGCAATGATTTAGGATTGGGTTATAAGTTCGATTAATATTAAAATATTTTTTAAAGAAAATAGCTCTGAAAGGAGGTGAATAAAATATAAATCATAAATGGCGCTGTATTCAGGCATTAAAATTAGGCCGGCTCAGCTCATTTCAATTTCATTATATTATTCTGATTTTTGATGGGCATATTTTGAAATGGTCTTTGAGAATGTCCAAAGAAGCCCGGAATGCATTTAACTGAAAACTGATCGCAGGTTTATCTACTTATTTAACATAATTAATAATCGTTCTATCTAATTGTTTTGAGCTTACCCAAAGCTGTGACCTGAGTTCGCGCTACTTGTATGAACTTCCAGTGAGTCTGACAGATTTTTGTAAATGGCACATTGGTTCAGGCACATAGATTCGGTTTCAGATCCCATGTTTACCATGATGAAAATAGGAGGTTGGCCTTGAAGTTTTCTGAATGGAACGTAAATTAAGTACAGTTTTAGCAAATTGAATATGAGAGCACACGCGTAACAATCAGCCTAAGACTATAATTGAATTTAAGTACGAGGTGAAAGCTGATTTAAGCTGATTAAGCTGTAGGTGACAGTATTGTAAAGTTATTGCTCAAGGAAATTTCGAATTGCGATTAGCCGCTTTGCAAAATGCCTCGTACATTGCCGATTGCATGCTGTCGAGGACAGCCAGCTGCTTACGGTGTGAGCTTTTGGATGTTTTATCGTCATTCTATTGTTATTCAGGACCTAAAAATTATCAGAAATTCGAATGCGCGGACTAAGGCGGACTAAGGCGGACTAATTTCTGTTGATTTTCTACTGACTGATTTTTTTTAAACCGAGTTTAGCTGCTTCAATTTTGGAACAAGAGAAATAGGTTTGAAGTGTTATCCCACGAGAAGACTCAATGTTAAGGCCGAAGCTTAGTGACTATTTTCACATTTAAAGTATTTTTTCTTGACTTTGGGTTTTTGATAGAAACATGTACGACTAGTTGAATTCAAAACTAATAACCCTTCATTTTTTCTCTAAGTGGGACCAGGTACGGTTCTGCTAAACTTGCTCCATTTGATGCTAGTTTGTTTTAAATTGCGATTATCCTCGCTTGATTTTGCAATACCCTCAAGCAGCTCTTTGAACCAGATTTTGTGAATATTCGGCTGGTGAATCGTTACGAAAATGAGCTGAAAAATTTTATTTTGAAGAGCACTTAAACGACTCTCAAGCGATTCTATTATCTGCCGAAAATGACAGGACGATAATCTCCGAAGAGGTATCGATGTTAAAACAATAAAAGTATTTACCGTGCGAACAAGAACATCCATTCTGATATAACACATGTCTCCAATTCTCCGTGTTTAATAACCGGATTATGTCGTAATTCCAGTAGACGTTTGAATATATTCAAGTGGCTGAGAGGATCTTTAAGTTGCTCTTTCACGTTATGTCGCCAATATCCAGGGTTCACGGGTAGCCATGCTTTCTTGTTAGTAGTGAATCCTTCAAGAAAGAACGAAAAAGGAGTTAAAATTGAGGGAATAATGTCCTAACAGCACGATGAATATGCAAGTATAATCAAAACATACGGCCAAAATGCTGAACTCATCCGTATTATACGTATAATAAATCCCTCTCATAACTGTTACATGTGTCGCAGGCAAGTGGCAATCGCCAGGAAATGGAATTTACTTGTGTTTAAAGAAAAAAAATTTTAATTTTAAAAGTAAATAAACAAGATAGAAAACACTGATTATTATGCTTGCAATTCTAACACACGTTTTTTTTTCCCATTTGCAAGCATGGTACCATCGAACACGCTTGCGAGTGCGTATAATGAAATGGAGATGTTGCATGTGTGAGGACTTTGCGATTTGACTGTTGATTCATATGTAAAAGTTTGCGAGAAACACGATGGTGCTACTGGTTTTCTCTGAAATCAGCTCCCAAGTTCAAAAAAAGCTCGCAAGTTGAGGCCAAAATGGGGGAGATATCCCACCCTACCCTAAGAGTCCACCTTTACATTAAAACAAACTCTCCATGCAAAGATAGGGAGTAAATACATTAGCAGGGTTGCCATGTTTTCAGTCTTGGAGTCCTCTAATGAAGTGGCAGCCCTGTCAATGTACATAATTTGCTCCCTATCTTTGCATGGAGAGTTTGTCTTGATGTAGAGGTGGACTCTCTGGGTGGGTAGGATATATAGGAGTTGATTTCAGAGAAAACCAGTGGTACCATCGTGCTTCTCGCGAACTTTTACGTAAGAATCAACAGTCAACTCGCAAATTCTTCACATATGCAACATCTCCATTCGTGACTCTAGGTGAGTTCAGTTTGGTCAGGTAACTCCGCCCCGGCAAAGCGGAGCGTATCGCTGAGATTCGAAGGCGCTCCTATCCGAGGTCGTGCGTTTGAAGTTCTTGGTCTATGAGACCCTTACTATGTCGTCGAATTATTGAAATTTGACGAGTTACACTGTTGTTGCTTGTAAATTGTCGGTACTTGCTGACTGTCTGTTCCTGCGTCATACAGTGCGTGATCCAGGGTTAAACAGGCAGACCACAAGAGCGTGTTCTAAGGGTCAAGTTAAAACTTTTTGTCGCATGAAGTTTTTTCCAAAAGTGTCCTCAGTTGAAGTTACGCCCCTCGCCCCCCAAATTTCGGATAGTGAATTGTTTTTCCTGAATTTTGGCAACGGTTATGAACCAAATCTCATGAAAATTTGTACTCCCCTGTACTATTATGCCCTGAATTCATAAATGATCCTAAAAAAATCGGAATCTCAATTTAAAGAGGGGATATGGGGGTGTTTCGGCTCCTGCAGTCTGACCGTTTAACCTTGGATCACCCTGTATATGGGTATTCAATTTCGAAGAAGGATTATAATTGCGTGTGTAATGACGTACATTGAATATCATTGATAAGGATGCTACTATCAACAAGGGTGGTATGTAATTTTTCAGATCATAACTTTTGCATTTCGCACCTGAATTTAAAGATTCGTCCCACTGCATGGGTCCTGGGTCCCCTGCAACCATCTCTTCCATTATCCTCTTGTCGCTGATCTGCTCGAATTCTAACGTCTGTCATGCCAATCTCCTGGCCATAGTAGATGCTCGCCAGTCCGGGTAGCATAAGTTGAATCATGGACGCTGCTTCTGAAAATTCAGGCTCAACTCTGGTGGCAATACGGGGAAAGTCGTGCGTGCTAGCCTGAGGAAAAAAGGAACGAATATTAAGAAATTATAGTTGGAACTTTTTTCTATAACACCATAAAAAACTTCCACTTTAATTTAAATCGACAAAATCAAATTTTCAATTGAAAATTTGCCAACCACGTGAGGTTAATAACGTTGATGAAGTCACAAAACGCGTACCTCAATTGCGCTGCGGCTATATTTTTTATATACATGGGAAAGGGAACGTTCAGTTATCTTCAAAATTTTCCGGGAATATTTCGCACTGAACAATCAGTAAATATATTTAGAAACAATTTTTTTATAAAATAGAACTGCGGGTAACAAAGCTAGAAAAGAACATATTCACAGAGACGTTTCTGCCGGAAACATTGACGGATCCAGCAAATTGAACATTGGAACATTGTCTATTCTCCATTTGAACCTATGGAAATCTATCGATTCTTGGAGGGACCAAGTGCTCCGACAATAATCGATTATTTAGCATAGGTTTCAATGGAGGAAATCTGGTGTTGCTAAGTTGCTGAATCCGCCTTTGGCTGGAAACGCCACAGACTTCTTCAACTGGATGAAATATATAAAAAATGTTTAAAAATTTGAAACTTTTTACTACGTTGTACCTTTAACAACAAGACTAATAAAGATGTTCTTAGAAATATCGTTTGCTCAGGTTTTTCTCAGTAAAATGATGGGCGAGTTATGTTATACATTCTCGATTAACAACAATCGAAAACACCGGAAAATGCGGAAACAAGGCTAAAGTACAAAATACAAAGGTAGGACGTTTCGGTACCTTACGGCACCATTATCAACTGCTAAAATACGTAGAATTAAAAATAAAAAAGAAATTAAAATAAAAACCAACAAACGGCGTTAAATGGTGAAATTGGAATGAGACTGCAGTGATGAGAGAATAAACCTAATAGAAAGATAATGATGAGTGGTTTATTCTCCTATCACTGCAGTCTCATTCCAATTTCACCATGTAACGCCGTTTGCTGGTTTTTATTTTAATTTCTTTTTTATTTTTAATTCAACGTATTTTAGCAGTTGATAATGGTGCCGTAAGGTACCGAAACGTCCTACCTTTGTATTTTGTATTTTAGCCTTGTTTCCGCTTTTTCCTGTGTTTTCGATTGTCGTTTCTGTTTCGGGCTGCTTTTACATTCTTTGTTTTCTCGATTAACTTACCATCCAGCTTGGGACTCCGTTCGCTGGTAAGATATCCATGAAACCATGAATAGTCTGATTCAAATCCTTCGCCCTCCAAGAGTTATCCATCCACATGAGCCCAAAATAAAATGGTAAAAGAGACGTCTTATCAGTTGAGTCACCGAAGAATTTGATGAGTCCATCCGGATGGAGGAAGAGCTCCAAAACCATCAATCTAAATAAAGCATATTAATTTTCTAATGAGTACAGTGAGTTAATTGGTCAGTAGCATTGGTCACAGAATCATGTTTGTATTTCGTGCTGTCGCCATGCTTGATTCATGTAGACTATCTAAAAATAATAAGATCCGTCCAAAAATCAATTTTCTCCATTCAGTGTTATCAAAGATATTGCCCTTTGAAAAATTCGGCGAATGACGTCATTCACGGCAGTAGTGTCACCCTTGGTTTCTTCCACCTTAATTTAATTTCATCAGTCAGCGAGACACACATTACTTATTTGTAACAAAGCTATTTTTTGGTTTTTAAAAAAAAAATTAAACTGTTTTTCTAAGGCGCGGTGTTACTAATAAGTATTATGTTTCTTTTTTAAAAAAAAAATTATTACCAAAATTTCTCGGGAAAAATTCGGACCTCTGTGTATTAACAAAGCAACACACGAACAACATAGATTTGTGTTCCCTGGAATCTGAGACTCAAAATTCATGCCGAAGAGGGATGTTATATTCAGCCATGCTAAGGAAGAACGCCGTATGAACATCCGAGGGTTGTCAAATTTTCCCGGATAAAATATGTATTTTCAGGAAAATAATGCATATTTCCCCTTGAAGTTTTCAGATAATTTAGATTTATATTCCGAACAAAATTGTCTGAAAAATTTGAAGAAAAATATCCACAATTTTCCGGGTAAATTCGTTTTGTACTGGAGGAAAGATGGCAAACGCCCGAAAGCTCATGCGGCGTTCTTCCTCGCACGGCAGTATTGAAATATGAAATTTAAAATATTTTGATTAGGTCAGTATCAAAATTTCACCTTGTTTTGCCGTCTTTTTGTTTGTTTCTATCCAAGAGTGAGCGCCATTCCTGTGCCAATCCCGCAACTTCGTCAAGACTGTACTGGAAAAGGTGAATTTGCGCATGATAATTCGTCGAATTTACACTCTCCGGAGAAACCCACGGGTTGTCCCGTAGTTGTTCGTCCTCAAAAATGCCGGCCGGGAAATCAACTCTGAAGCCATCAACGCCAAAATCCAACCAATATTGAATCACATCCTATAAAAATTGAGGGTTATATAATTGGATTTTATTCATTTTTCAAAAAGGAACCAAGAGCATTCGAATGCCGCTAAGATTGTGCAACTCTTTTTACCTTGGAAATATAAACTGATCGTTCTTACTTTGCTTCATAGGCAGCATACATATATCGCGAAAAGTTATCTTTTTGAAAATCACACATTAGAGGCGAATTTTCATGTTGGATTGGATCGATCGTGTGCATCTGATTGACCAATCCATCAGAACTCAGAACGGACCAATCCTTCAACTTCCCTCCAGGTTCATCAAGTCTCTAGGATTTCACGGAGTAGGTTGATACCCAACGATGACCTTGGTGAGCACCAACCATCCGTTTGGTGAGCTCCAAAAACAGGGATCGGGTTCACGAGAAAATACGGATTCACACGATCAATCCAATCCATCGCAAAAATTCTCCTCTCCTCTGAAATGGAGCCAAAAACACATGTTTCTGGGATGTGAGCGAAGGTTGTATTCATTGTTCGAAACTAAAATCGTTAAACCCACCTCCATAGCGCTGCGAACTTTCGGGTTGCGATAGTTCAAATCCGGTTGAGCCGCAGTAAAGAGTGTGTAATAAAATTGACGTCTTTTTTCATTCCATCGCCAGGCTGGGCCGTTGAAAATGCTCAGCTACAAAAATAGAAAGAAGGAAATCAACACTGAGAAAAGTGAAGAATGATGTAGTCGATGCAAGTCGGTGCCATGGTTTTGTTTGGCCGACAAGTTTTGAGCTTTGTAGTACTTGTGCGTGGCATTCAATCCGAAAATAGTAAAAATCCTGAATTTTTTTATTGGAAATTGTCGCTTTCGAGATTCATAGTTCAAGTCACTTTTTAGAGAGAAAAGCACTCTCGGGTCGGCGCAGGAACCAAGTTAGCGGTTGTTCTATACAAAATTTTACGTAGAACACGATTTGCGCAACGAGAACAGGATACAAATCAATGTGCTCCTAAGTCGAGAAATTGCCTACCCATGCTTAGTGAAGGCGAACAAGTGAACACACGACGCGACGTCGCGAAAGTGCGGACGCTTGTACTATTAAAACTAAAAGGAACCATGTGCATGGGGTTAACATAGTTTCTTTTATGTAATTCATGAAAGCTGATGATCGTACAATATGAATCACAGCATCTCATAGTTCTCTGATTTTTTTTAGGCAGAAAACTTTTTATTAAAATTTAAAGTCTTGAAATTTCTTATGAAACGTCTAGACCGTAGATATCGTTCTGTCATCAACAAATCTGCTCAAGAAATATGGAAACATTCTTCATAAAATTAGTAAAGATTGAATGGAGTATATGCATGTGAGTGACACATCAGTCATGAGACATGCGATTTATCGTATGTCGTTTTGACAGAAAATATGACGTACTACATCGAACCACCACGTATTACCACGACGTTTGTATTATTCCATATCAGCCAGAAAATTTACTTACCCAATTATTAGGAGGTATCGGCTGATTCTGCGCGTCAAAACCTTTGGGATCCCTCCAGATGTAAAAATCTGTGTAAGGGTCCTCTCTATTCACCGATTTTATGAACCAATCATTTTTGTCACTCGTGTGGTTCGGAATGAAATCGAACAGCACTCTCATACCTGAAAACAAATATGATTCCTCAAACAGCAATAAAAAGGGAAAGAAGTTTTCTGACAGGGAGGGGGGAGAAAACATTGCAATTAAAAAACGCTCAAATGAGTATACGTAATTACATAATTTATAGTAGTATCGCTTTGTCAAGAGAAAGAAACGCCGTTCTATCGAAACGACGCAAACTTCGAAATCCCCCCCCCCCCACATTAAAATATTAATTTTTCATAATTTTTTATTTATTTTATCAGATACTCTATAAATTAGATTACCATTAAAATGATTTTAGAGCTCTGGCTTGAAAACAGTACACATTTTTTAGAAAATGTTGAAAGCAGTAGAAAAAAAAAAAAATAATATTTAAAAATGAAATGTAAGAAGAGCCGGAAAGGAAGGTATACTTCAAAAGAATGAAAAGTAGAGGGAGATAAATTTTAAATTACAATTCATGAGCATAAAGTTAAGTACAGAATAAAGTGCCCTAGGTACATAAAAAATGTATTATATTCAAGATTTATCGATAAGAATTTTTTTCACTCACAGGAGTCACAGGTGAATGTTCTCCGGAAATTCGGAGAGAATTTGCAAATTTTCCGGAAAATTCTCATTATGTAAAATAAAAATTGGCATCGCCCAGAATGGCATCGCATACGGCGTTTTTCCCGACCATGGCAGAACGAAATGAATCGATATACACATATCGCTCTTCTTGACATGACGCGGTAGTGCGTCTGCACAATGCTAGCTGGTACATTTCTTCCGCATGAACACAGATGCTGATCTCGTCGCTCCTTTGACGTAAGGGCGTATCTCGATTTACACATGAGCCCTGGAAAAAATCGCATTATGTGTAAAACAGAGCTCACGTGGAGATTGAGATACGCCCCTCCAGAGGGTCGGCGATCTGTGATGCGGATAAATACCGTGCATTTCGAGATTCACGGCGCGGGTATTAGGAGATCAGGAACGAGTAGCAGGTAAACCGGTTCGTTGTGGCTGAGTGAGCCGCGTTGCGGACCCGCGCTCAAATTCTCGAACTGAGTCGGAGCCCCGATTGTGAGCCACTTTTTGTCGATTGGTGGAGCCAGTTAAGCCGGATATATACATTTTCGATGTATATATCGTCAAATCGGATCCGGATAATGTTGCGTGGCAGCACGTCGCGTCGCGCCTTGCCAATGATCGTTGATTTCATTCTCATTGAGAGAGCAATTCGCATATGCATAGAATCTGGTGTCCTGGTTGCAACTGCCGCTTGGGAACGTATTGGGAAAACGGACTCATAATTGGATTGCATTTTGCAAAAAGGAACAACTAGCATTGCGATGATGCTAAATCAACTTCATCTTTTGCAATAAAATTGCGGAAATCGTGAAAAACTATGAAATTTAGATGGCAATTTTTGTCTTAATTTTACAGTTTTTAGCGAGTAAAACAGAAACTATGAATGGATAATCTGGTTTTTCCTCCAGGACAAAAGAAGTTGCACAATCTTAGCAACATTGCAATGCTAGTGGTTCCTTTTCGCAAAATGCAATCCAATTAGTAGGGCGAACGAGCTGGCTTGCGCCGGGTCAACTTCGAATGGAGAATTTGCAGGTGTCAAAAATTTTGAAAATTTCAATTGCAAAAATGAAATCACTAAATTTACGGAATGGTTGTTCCCAATTCAATCATTGTTCCGCTAAAACATGCTTGAAAAATAAATGCATAAAAATGTCTGCTTCTTTCATATAAGCATCTATCTACATAGAGAAACTTATGGCAACATTCGTCGTTTCTAAAATAAGTCAGCAATTGTAGTTCCTGAGTGCAAAATGGTTCAAATTCTTCCCGCGTCAATGTGTTTGCGAGTAGCTAGGCATGAATGATCGATCTATAGATATTTTTTCCATTTTAAGCTATGGTAAAGAATCGATTATGGAGGTGTTAATTGCAAATATCCTGTTCATCGATTCTTTTCCATTGATTTAAATGGCATATCATACCTTTTTCATGGATGGCGTCTACCAAGCGTCTAACATCATCAATTGTTCCGTAGGTTGGGTCAACAGCTTTATGATCAGACACATCAAATCCAAAATCTACATTCGGAGATTTGAAAAACGTTTGAATCCAAACTGTATCGAATCCAGTGTCTTTTATGTAATCAAGTTTCTCGTGTATTCCTAGAAATAGTTAAAAATATCGTCTTCACCAAAACTGGGATTAGTTTAAATAATATACACTTTCAGGTATTTTTAACCAAGACATCAAAACCATTAGCAGCTCATGTAGAACCCCCTACGTCCTTAAAATTAGAGATAAAAAGTTATTATACGCCATCAACTCCAAATAGATGCATAAGATCCGCTTTCACAACGCTCTCTGTCAAAACTAAGTACAGGTACAAAGTGCAAAAAGGGAAAATTATAGAATAACTTAACAGGATTCGCGAGATAATGTAATTCACATATTTTTAAATTCATCATATACTTTTAGAGGTGAATATGGGAAGTGATAACTCAATGCCGTTTTGTATCGTATCCTTCACATGAAATGAGGGGCTAAGAGGACAAGGCGCATAAACGCAGTTCTTGCTATTTCGAAAAATACGTGTTTGAAGTTTCGAAATTGCAAAAATCCTTGTGGCTGAAAGTAAGTTCAAACTGACTCATGCTTAAAAATTGGAAATTCAGGGCGAATTTTTCACAGAATATGTATTAAGACTAGTTTTACTTGAAATCATTCATATCTCAATTTTTTTCATAAACTGCACTTATGCACCTTTTTCCTCCGAGCTCCTTCTGAGTTATTTACCTTTTATATCCCCTATCCCATCTCCATCGGAATCCTTGAATGATCTCGTGTAGATTTGATACAGTACCGCTGTTTCATGCCAGTCTTTTTTCTTCTCTTCTCCTTGTAACGCGGTGAACATCAAGATCACCAGGAACGAAGTTAATGAAAAACCCCGCATTATTTCGAAAATAAAAAATCGTTGCACTTAGTTACACCTTAAATAATGTGCACACCTTCACCCGTCTGAAAGGTTTGGGCTCATGAACTTTTATAACTGTCAAAAACCACTTCGCAGGTGTGATTTGCCTCTGATCACGCGACAGGTCCTAAAGTCAGCCCATGCCCTTATCGCCCAATTCCGTTTTAGGATATCCGAAAATAATTTGACAGAGATAAAAAGAAATCAAGGGCAATTTCTTTGCCTCTTTCAATTTGATTTGGCGCTATCGACCTCTTATCATCTTGAGTACATCCCTATCGAGATAGGAGTCATTTTAATATGAAGGGTACTTAATCACACCAATTCTTCTGAAAGAAAGTGGTCTACATTATGAATCTTTGAAGGAGCTGTATGTGCATACAGCTCGTACTTGTAATTAGTTATTCAGACCAGACGAATTTTGAAGAGGTTACCTATAGAGATGAGAATCCCACGCTGAGGCATACTCGATAGGAATCAGATAAGACTATACTTATCCTATCGTAGGTCCCAGGATGTAATGCGTTTCTAGACTAAGATAACCGTTCATTCAGTTCGCAGTTCATTGACACTATTGTTCAGTCATTTATAGTTCATTGTTAGTTTGCTGAAACTATTTAGTTCGTGAGCCCTCTCTTGCCTGCCTCTTTCAGTCCAGAAATGATTTTTCCCTTCATTAAAAATGTGATTTTGCCGACCAAAGGTTTTCAAAAAAAGGTTTCTTTTTTGAAACACCCTAATGAATACACCATATTCCTATGGTAAGAGCCATCTCCGTAAGAACCATCGACACTTGACAAATTTCTTCTGCGAAAGAACGGATTCTGTGGAAAATGTGTGAATTTTTCATAATATTTATTCCCAACCCGATCCGATTTTCTGCGTTAAGTATTTTATGAACAACCACTGGCGACCGAAAATAGATTGATTGACGAGGAGGTACACGACTGAGCACGCGATCATCTTAATTGGACGTATTTCCGTCAAACGGAACTATGTGCATTAAGACATGAGTCCTGAGACCCATAATAATATATGTATAACAGGGCTCACGTCGTAATACATGTAGTTCCGTCTGACAGAAATACGCCCAATTGTCCGCGATTGGAACGAGTACTTCGTCCATGTCGTATTACCCTTTCAACCCTATAATTTATTCCCTCTTCAACACCGTAGTCGAGCGCTCTCCTCATGAAAAGTTTTAATTTCTTCGGCTTTTTTTGGAAGCTATAGAAGAAACCCATCGCGAGCAGTGCCTGGGTTTCGAGGGAGAGGGGGGCGGGGATCTCATGCATGTAAGCTGAGCAAGTTCATCTGAAAGTCATGCGGGTCTCTTGTGTCCCAGTGACATCACATGCGCCTTGGCCGCGAATGCGGGAAACAGATCAAAAGGGAAGTCGACGGGACTTTACACGACGAATTAAAAATGATTATCTCCGGTTTGAGCCCCCGCTCAAAATAAATAAACAACGCATTAATCTTGATACCAATGATACACTTTGGAGCCTAGGTTGTTGCGTCGTTTCTCAGGCGAAGGAGCGTGACTCCATTCCGAGGCTGAAAAATTAATTCATAGAGGATTATTTTTTTAAAATAAAATATGACTTCATGAGCTTCGTACACATTTTTTAAAATTTTGGGTTCAATGAAGGAAAAGTCGGCGAAATTTTTAGTTACTCATAATCTTTTCCGATGAACGATTGCGACGTTAGTACTCACCATTCGCTTTTTATTAAATGCCTTCAAGAAAACTAACGAGCATTTCCCTTGAAATGGAAATGTTGCATGTGTGAGGAATTTGCGATTTGACTGTTGATTCTTACGTAAAAGTTTGCGAGAAACACGATGGTCCCACTGGTTGTCCCTGAAATCAATTCCCAAGCTCAAAAAAAGCTCTCAAGTTTAGGCCAAAATGGAGGGGATATCCCGTGCTATTCTGAGAGTCCACCTCTACATCAACGCAAACTCTGCATGGAAAGATAGGGAGCAAATACATTAGCAGTGATGCCGTGTTTTCAGTTTTAGAGCCCCCAAATAAAGTGGCAGCCCTGTCAATGTATTTGCTCCCTATCTTTGCATGGAGAGTTCGTCTTGATGTAGAGGTGGACTCTCAGGATAGCGTGTCCCCGATATCCCCTCCATTTTGGCTTCAACTTGAGAGCTTTTTTTGAGCTTGGGAGATGATTTCAGAAAAAACCAGTGTTCTCGCGAACTTTTACATAAGAATCAATAGTCAAATCGCAAATTCCTCACACATGCAACATCTCCATTGTCAACCGAAGGCTAGGGCTATTTTGTGTTTTACTTCCAGCACTAATCAAACTTTTGTGTTGAAACTTTCTATGTATAAAGTCTCATATTACAGAGTTCAATTAGTGAAACTGTACCAATAAAAAGCGAAATTTCTCACTTTCGCGTACTACTCGTAGCTCGGCCGTTTCCCTCCGCCAAAATTACCAACACGCCCACACGATTACTCGAGTTGCCAGAAATGCTAAGAAGGAATTGGTTAAACTCATCCCTGATAAGTTTACGTTAGTTCGGTTTTCTATTCAAATGGCTATGGTAGATCATAACTTAATAATATAAAAATAAGAATTCACTCTTCTATTTCTTTAGGTCGTAGTGCTTCTCTACATTTCAAGGATAAAAAGCCATTGCTCACTTTTTTCTCTATTTTTGATTGTTCAGCTACCACTTTATATCATCCTCTTACACGTAGTCGGAGATAAGCCGGGAACAGAGGCAAAAACACCAGTTCAACCTGGTATCCTCTCGGAAGAATTAAAATTACCGTCAGCTACCAACTTCTCCGCGAATCCCTCTCGACGGGAAGTGGTGGAGAGTGCTTTTCAGTCGCATTCGCCTTCGCGCCCTCCGAGCAAGCTGTCAACGAGCGCCTTTCGCACGAGAAAATAACTAACGGAAAAGTTTCGAGAGTAAATTATTTTAATTCGCGAACTCTCTTCCGTGTCTTTTCCGCAACTTCTAACAATTATGAAAGCAAGTCCGCGATGGCAAGCAATTACGTCTCGCATTCATGAATGCAGCTATGTGCATTTCGCCCGCGATCCCCGGGAATATTATTTTACATTGATCAATTTCCAGTTGCAAACATTATATCTCCCGCCGAAAATTGAATTCACGAGGAAAGAGAAAAAAAGGTAGTCTACCATATTTTATCCAGTCCTCTTCACAGTTCGCAGTCTTAGTTTGGATGAAAAGAGCTTCTCTTTAGTGGCAGATAAAAGACGATTGTGTGTCCTTTTCCTACAGAAAAGTACTCTTGTTCTTATCGTACACTAGGAGTGGCTGAATGAACTTACGTAGTCCAATATATACGAAGAAAAACACACTAAACCTCGCAATTGAAAATATCTTGGGACTGAAAGGGCTGATTTTGGCTGCAGTTTGTCTCAAATTCTCTGCTAACATTTCATCCATTATGATTGAAGCATAGATGTGTGCACTTAACTTTTGATGAACATACTTGATGATTTTACGGCGCTAAAAACTTAAAATTTCAGAAAATTCATCCAATGGTCTCCCCTCTCTGGAAATAAAAATTAGCACGAGAGATTCTGAAACATCGCAATCAAGAAATGTCATTTTTGCTCTTAACGCCTCAAGCAGGGGCCAATATTTCTTCCTCCCCATAAAAGCACCTATCTGCACTGAGAGACGAATTTTTTCTTTCTTTTTTTTTCTTTTTAAAGATTCCCTATTTTAGTTTTTTGAAAGGAAGCCAACGAACATCTCCACTCGATAGATTTTTTCAATTTATTTTGTCCACATGAAGACTATTTCCACAGTTTTTTCAGCTAAAATGTTGATTGGCCTCCATCCGAAAAATCAGAATAGAAGATTAGGTTTATAAAGCACCGCAGAGTAGATGTGACCGTTTCGCTTTACTCCATATCCGAACGCAGTCCAATTCTGATGAGGTGCTGCTGATCCTCATATCATACAGGACAGTCATTACGACTCGCGGAACCCAATTATTCTCCATTTAAGGCGCTCTTCCTCTTGTCTTTCAAAAATATTCAAATCCAGCATGTCTGATGCGGTAGGCGTCCGGAACCATCAAGACGAATTGAAATTTATCTCCCGTACTTACACGCACACGACATCGCGATACCGCGGGACNGGGGGGGGGGGGGGTCGAGCCGAGGGCCCGTCAAGCAAATTCGAAGGGGCTCAAAGGCTAATTACCCCGGGCAGATCTCGAGGGCCGCCCCTCCCCCGGGCAACTCTCAAGACGCCAATAATAACTACATTAGAGGATCCACCGCACACGCCCCTTTTTTCTGTCAACTCTCCTCTCCGTCCGAACGTCCTATCGCTTTCCGTCGCCCCTCCTGTGGGGTTTTATCTACCCTCCCTGCCTCTCGAAAAGTGAATGGGGGGGGGGGGGGGCTCAACCCTTTCCGACCTCATTACCGGCGACACTTGAGCCCGCGGATCGGGATTGTCAAATGTGCGCGTGCTTTGGAAGTGGGGGAAATTAATAGGGGGATCCCAGGTGCGGGCCCTTCCATGGTGGCGCCGAGGAATTTAAATTCGTTGGGAAACGGTCTGAAAATGTTGGACCCGAATGTAATGGACCACTAAGTTGACGATTTCAGGTTATGTTTTTGAAGAGTATATAGTTCAACAGATGTCGAAAAGCCACTAATACACTGAAAACAAAGGTTCGGTCACATGTGCCGAAGTTCGATGATCCATATAATCCCAACGAATTCGGTTCGTCAAACTGAATGTTCGATTCGTCAAACTGAACTTTTGGTTTGTCAAATCGAATTCCCGGTCCGTGTAACCGAACTTATGCGGTAAAGTGAACTGACGAATAAAGTTTGGTCATATGTACCAAACGTTCGGTTACCAGAACCGAAAGTTCAGTTCGACAAACCAAATATTAAAGATGATATGGGACAAGGAACGTTCGGTTCACATGACAGAATTTCTTTTTCAGTTTATTT